CGATACTCAGGGTCCTCTTTCCGACATAGAGGGTGAGGTATGGAAGCAGCAAGGACCCCGTTGTCTTGTCCATGAACCCCTGTGGGCACCTTTTGCCCGGCCTCCCTCCAGGTCAGCTGTAGTCATCGATGTGGCAAAGGCAAGATCGTTTGTCTCGCTGGACGAACCAGATGGCATGATGATAAACAGGGTGACGGTGGACAGACTGTCCCGCATGCAACAGGCTCTGTGTTGACAGAAACGAACAGGAGTCTACGTTCATTTTCTTTAGAACAATCACGTTACTCTCCTGTATTGCCAACATAAAGCTCAAAGAATCTTTACAGACTGACATCTTGTACTGGACAAGCATTAATATGTTTCCATGTCTAACATTAACCAAGAAACAGATTTATCTAATGGCTGGGTGTATAGGTGAATTGCACTTAATGCCATTAATGCCTTGGCCCCTGGAGGGGTCTGGACTCAGTCTTCTGCTCCACTTTGTTTTATCTTGGTTTATCGCCCGCCCGGCCAGCCCAGTTCCCACTTTTTTGAGTTTACTTTAGTATAATGAGGTGTCTTCTCGGCCTGCGGTCCAGGGGTTAGAGGCGACCTAACAAACGTGCGTTCACGGGGATCTGTTGTGTTGCAGCCCCTTTGACGTGGAGGACATGGCCCCGTCCTCGGGCGCCGGGAGCAAGGCCGCAGCCCTGCAGAGGAGAATGTCCATGTACAGCCAGGGGACCCCGGAGACGCCCACCCTGAAGGACCACTCCTTTTTCGTAAGTTCACGGTGATCTGGGGAGGAGGCGCGTTGAACCCAAGGTGGGGCTTGCACCCAGTATTTGAAACGCTTGACACGGCATTAGGGGTTCTCGGTAACTCCTGATAATGTTCCAAGATGCCCTTGGCCATTTGCACACGGCGGCGGCGGCGGTGGTAGACCGCCCCCTGCCGTCTTTCCTCTCCCCTCACCCCCCTTTACTGATCGCACTGATAACACGCAGACTTTTCTGAAGACTCTCTGAGCTCAGCCTTTTAGAGTGAGGGGTGTCACAGCGGCCTCCTAGTTCTAATCAGAAACGCGGGCTCGAAAGCTAAGGAGACACGGTAACCAATGCTTTCCGCTAACTGCGCGTCTTGCTTTGACTTCCCAAGCGGTGGCTGCGCCCTCCGGCAGACAAGCCGCGGCGGCTGTCTGTCTTGAGTGCCTTGCAGGACACTTTCTTGGCCAAGCTGCACTGCAGCCGCTCCCTCAGTGACCTGCCCTCCCTCCGGCTGAGACCCAAGGCCGGGCTAGAGTTTTATGTGAGTGCGGGTGGCCTGCCCGCTGGGAAGTGCTTGCCGTGGGGGCTGGTGGCACGTGTGCTGTGGTCTGTCCGTTTTTCCCGCTTCTCTGTCGTGCTCACGGGGTGACGGTTACAGCCGTCCTGTCCCTGGGGCGGGAAATTGGGTCACGCATGCGCCTCTGTCCGCCAGGTGGTTGTCCCTGTCTTTGGCGAGCCCCGCTTTTGTGCTGTGGTTTTTCTCCGCTGGGGCAAAGATATCCATGGTAACAAGATCTTCATCTTTTAAAAATACAATTAACTTGCGGTCAAAGATGTTCCTTCCCAAGTCCAACTAGTTTATCACCGGTAACAGTCTTTAGGCCTTTCGGCATTCAGATGCACTTAGCATTTGAGTAACCTCAAAAAGGGGCATTCGAGGAGGTCAAAAGGATGCATACCAATTTAACGAGAGCCTTTTTTATTTAAAGAGGTTCTTAGCCTTAGTTTATTGTAGTGTTTGTTATTTTTGCTGCCTTAGCAAAAGAAACTCTTTCATTTGTAGCCAGGAATGCAACAGGTGACCTACATTGTATGACGTTAGGTCACAAGAGACCGTCTTGTGACGTTAGGTCACAAGAGAGGGCACACGTACACACCCATGTACGTGTGTACATGGAATATTCTGCTCTTTACGAACATATAGAAGTCATCTTTGGGTGGGGGGGGGAGTCATCTTTGAATGTCCAGAAAGGAAAGGACTAAAAAGTTTTCTGGTTAATGATCATAATAATTGCATCTAATTCGTTCAATTACAAATCCCAGGTGACAAGGACCAGACTAAAGTAGTGGGGTTTCCGAGGAAAACAGAAAGATCGTGTAAGGAAAATGTGCCTGAACACATGGACCCAAAAACGATATAGCAGATACAATTGTGTACGTAACCACGGATATCACGTGTATATCCATGTTCGCCTGCTTCAAGTTGTGGAGGGAGTTGGTAGAGATCTTAATAGCATGATTTAAACAAGAGTTTGACGACTTCTTGTAGCCTTTTGGATAAAGGCAGACGCCTCAGAGCGGCTCTTCCTCGGCCCGGCTTTCCACGCCTGCCATTGACCACTCTTCGTCCTCTGCCTGAGCCCCTTGACCTCCCCACCGCTCTCCAACCCCACCACACCCTCCGCGAGCTGCCATCTTTCGCACACAACGTTCCTTCTCGAATGCACTCCCTCCTCCTCGCCTCCGCCTCCCCATCCTGCAGGGCTGAGCTCTGGGACCCCCTGTTCCCCAGGCGGCAACCATCCCCGTGCGGGGGTCCTGCCTTGTTGTGTCACACCTCAGTTATCGCACACGTGCTCGTACTGTCGTGTGCCCGTTTATAGGCTCCCCTTGGCACACCGGGAGTCCCTTTGAGCAGAGCACCTCGGCTTCGTCTAACTCAACCTTGGCCACTCGTGTAGGTGCGCATTGGGTTTGGGAACATGAGGCCCGAGAGAAGCGGCTGGTGAGGACTTCGGAATTTCCGCAAGAATCCTGATGGAGCAACCCCCTGCCTCAGCCAGTGCCTCCCTCGTCCCCCAGTGCGGCCAGGGCCCCGGGGGTTCTGTGAGATGCCTGAGGGATCCCCTCGGAGGAAGTCCAGGGGGTAGCCCTTTTCCAATCCTACCAGAAGCTCCCCCTTTGTCTCTCCTAGAGGGGTAAGGTGCAGGGGGGCAGACAGAGGGCAGAGGACACCGAAGGAGACAAGCCCCAGAGCCCACGGGGCCCACCTGCTGCTTCGCGGCTCCTGGGGGGGTTCCCAGAACTCCGCCCACTCCCGCCCCTGCACCCCCAGGACCCTGAGCAGCGCGCTCGGGGACCATTCACGGAAGAAAACGTTCTTTAGAGGCAAAACTGAGCTGCAGAGGTTCCTGGAGTGCCCCAGTGACACAGCTCACCCTGTGGTTAACCAGATGAGAATAGAAAGTTTGGGTTGAACTGACTGCACGTGCTGGGATCTGGCGGCCCCAGCCCAGCAGCGAGGGGACCAGAGACACGGCTGGGGAGGACAGGGGCTCCCTTTCCGTCCGCTCCCATTTCACTGGCTGGGACGTTTTGTTTCCCAGAACTATGATGGTAATTCCTTGCTTTATATGTAATTAGGCATGAGCGTGGTACTTAACTATTTACCTAGAATATCAAATCCAGAGCCCAGGAGAAATTATCCATTTTGAAAGAGCTGGTCTCAAATACCCAGAAAACTTTTTCCACGGAGCAGCAGTTGGTACCGAGACCCTGCATGGACCGCAACGTAGGGAAAACTGACTTAGAAATCATTTTAATGCCCGCATAAAGTAATTATCTTGGTTACCTGGATATTTGGAACCTCTCCCCCTTCTGAGCTCTGCTTCATGGATCACAGAGTGTACTTGACCCAGCCCGGGCGGGCTCGACAAGAGGACTCACTGTTTCTAGACACAGCTCTGGCTGTGCAATCGCAGGAGATGTTCAAGTTTATTAGTCTCCCGTTTTTACAGAAGCTATGCCAGTGTATTTCTGGCCTCAGTTATTTGTGGCATGGTTACCAAATTCATAGAACATTTTCAAGGGCTTGGATTTGTGGGTAGAGATTCTTTTAAAATAATCTATGAGAATTGAAGCAGAACAAAGCATCCCGTCTTTTGAGTGAAATAGCATGAATGTTGTAAAGTCTTTTAAGATAAATGCCTCCCCCCCAAAATTGGTAGCATTATTCATAAGTACAGCTGCCAAATATTGTGAGATCCTGCGTTTTAGGGAACAGGCTCGCTTGCCTCCCCTCCCCCACCCTTTTCTTTTGAAAATGTTAAACCCAAGAATAGTCTAATGAACTTTCACCTAGATTCAACACCAGAAGTCCTTTCTAAGAGCTTTGTTTTCTCTTGCCACGCAACACAACCACACACACACACAACCACACACACACACACAACCACACATACACACACACACACATACAACCACACACAAGTCACACATACACACAACCACACACACATACAACCACACACAAGTCACACATACACACAACCACACACACATACAACCACACACAAATCACACATACACACAACCACACACACA